CAGACAGACAGATATAGCTCTATTCTGCTTGCAATCTCTCAATGGTTTCCCGTACTACTAAGAGTGGACTGTAAGCTCCTTCCATGGTCTGTGAGGCTTGACCTCTGATAGGCTCTTAGACCTTACTGTCTAGCCATCTCCTTGTTAGTACATCCTTCCTCAGAGCTCTTCCTGTTGCGGAAGTTCCCCCACCTCACTACTTCATGATCTGTCCAGTCTCTGCTTCTTCCAGGTCATTTTCTCTTCTTCCAGGCCCCAACCCTCAGTTCACATGCCAACTCCTTAGGAAATCTCTACACCCTGTCCCACAAAGGGTTGCTATCACATCAACGACCCACTGTGTTTCACCAGAGACATGCCCATATGCTCCTGTTTGCAGTGCCTCCCTGACCACACAGAAAACATGGGAATTTGGTTTTTGTTGTCATTGTTGTATTTAATATTTTTAATGAGTTTTTGAGTATTTCAATAATACATCTCAATCAAATTTAGACTCCCTCCCCTCTCTTTTCCCCCCATATCCCCCCACCACCAGATTTCAGATAGTCTGTCATATATGTTAAGTCCTACCTGGACCAGCATTTGTAGCCAGGTGCCCCTTGGTGCAAGTTCATCCCCTAGAGTCTAGTCAGCCTATCTAGAGTCACTCCCTTAAAGAAAATCTACTCTCTCTCACCCCGCAGAAATCATTTGCCAATTGTTCCTTGACTGGGGTTGGGACCTCTGCCCATTTCCCCCGTTCTATGCTGGGTTTTTGAGACTTAGGAATTTGTGAGAATCACTGCTGCGATATCAGGAGCAAAGATGATATTGATTCACAGTAAACATGCTGAATGAATGGTCACATTTACATTTCTCGGGCATGTGTCATGAACACTTGCTGTGCCAGTAGGAGCTGCAGGTGCTGCACATGTGTCGTCATTTCCTGTCTCTTGGTCATTTTGGTTTTGTATTGTTGTCTCATTGTATCAGATGCAATTTTATTTCAATAACTTTAGTTCTTTCAAAGCCTGTGTTCATTTGACGTCAGTGCTGTTCACAGCCTGGTCCATGGAACAATGTTGCTGACCCGAGACTCAACAATAGGAGGCAACAAAATTCAGACACCGGAAGATCCATGTAGCAATATTTACGGAAACTTACATTGGTGTTTGTTGGCTCTAATAATAAACTATCAGGGCTTATGTTTTTATGACTTAATATGTTTTAGGCATTTCAATTTTTAGTATGCTTCACAAACATACTTGAGATTTTCATGTGTTAGTTTTTTATTTGGTTTTGTTTTGTTTGTTTTGTGTGAGACAGGACCTTACTATGTAGTCTTGGCTCTCCTGGAATTCTCTATGTAGACCAGGTTGGCTTCAAACTCACAAAGATCTGCCTCCCTCTGCCTCCTGAGTGCTTGGATAAAAGGCATGTGCCACCACACCTGGCTTGTTTATTAGATTTTTGAAACAATCTTATGATCCTCCTGCCTCCACTCAAGTGCAAGGATTACAGGCACCTGGGAGATTTTTTTTAACTGATTTTTTTTTAGATTTATTTTACTTTTAATTAAGTGTATGTCTGTGTGTCTGTGTGTCTGTGTGTGCGTGCGCGCACACTGCATGTAAGCTCAGGTACCCACAGAGACCAGAAGAGAGTGCTGGGTTCCCTAGAGCTGAAGTTACA